ACAGAGTAGACTCTCCCGCGGACGATGGCACCCGGCACGGGTACCCCGAGGGGAGGGTTCAGGAGGAGATAGCCGCACCAACTTCGGTCGGCGATCTCATTAAAAAACAATAGAATACAAAGGCTCGCCGAGACGTCGCGCCCCCCGCGGAGCCTTAGCGTATTACTTATATAGACTAGCTGTTTGCGCCCGTTAAACGGGCGCTCTTTGCTGTGGCAGCCATTTTGCGTTCGTCCGCGGCATCAAACTTTTCAGCCTTTAGGTTCCGTAAAGATTGACATATATAACAATTCTATTTACAATTGTATTTATAATTGATTTCATCATGAAATAAGCTAATAAATATCAAATTAAGACTTGACTGATTTAAATTTAAAATATTATATTTTAATTAAAAATAAGCTAATAAATATCAAATAAAGACTTGACTGATTTAAATTTAAAATAGACCTATTATATTTTAATTAAAAATATTGATTGATATTCATAAATTTCTGTGTTTGCGTGGCGAGCTTCTTTTCGGTCATTTTCTTCGCGTACGCAAGAAATACAGCTCCGTTATTCATGAATGAGGTATCAAGTTGACCGGGATCATTGTTCGAATACCTGTAAGAAACGTCAATGAAATATATCAACCGGTTCAATTTAAAAAAATAAAAATTCACTTCAGCTCAGAAAATACAGCATCTGCTGCAATTACGGCCGGTTTTAAGCCCCAGAGTTCTGGGGAAGAAAAGGGCTAGAGATAGCTATGATTACTGATTATTTTTTTCCATTAAACATCACATCCTATTTCTACTACATCACATATATATATTATAAGGTCTAGGCCTAGAATCTAGACGATTTTTATAACGCTGTTTGACCATGAATGACGCACCGTAATACCCGTTTTAATGCATTGATTTGATGAAGGAACTGTATCATAGTAAAAGTATTCTATCCAGCTATAGACAATGCCAATGGCTATGTTTTTAAACGACCGTCTGATTTTCTTGTGAAAACTTTACTTTGAAAAATGATTATCGAAATTTAGCATACAACTTTACATGGACAGAATAATCACAATCTAAGCTCAGGTTTCATACCTCTATAGTCACGAAACTATATTGAAATATAGGGGCAATAAGAGCAATTTCAAAATGTTGTCGAGTCTACTCTATAATAGCTCAGCTCAGCTCACCTCACCTCACACACAGTCACAGTTCCGACAGTGCTCGGAAGCAGTGGCGCACTGCACTGCCCGTGCCTCATGGCAGCTAGCTTGCAACTGAACTGTCAGTTACGATGAATTTCTTGTGAAAACTTTACTTTGAAGAATGATTTTCAATATTCAGTAAACATGAACAGGATAATACCAAAGTAGAGTCTAACCCTGCTTGCATACCTCTATTCACGTAAACTATATATAAATCACGGCAATCATCATAGAATCAAAGACGAAGCGACTGAGCTGTGCGTGTGACGGTGAGCGTAGAATCATCGCATACATTATACACGTACGTTCGTACACGCAGCAGGTCCGGCTGGCCTACAAAGCATATCATATAAAAAGACGCATAACACGGGTAAGCCCAACCCGTGAGAGCGTGCATTTCTTACATCCCCTCACCCGAGTGAGTCATCTGTTAATGTGTATTTCTCTTACATGCTACAAAGCGTATCCTATAGCAAGAGGCCTAAACTCGGGGTAAGCCACAACCGTTACTACGTGATGTGCTACATCCATTGACAGAGTAGATGCTCGTCCGCTGTGTGTCTCTTTGTTGATTGCACAGAGGGCGGATGCACGCCTTGCCGACTCGCTCTCGCGGGTTCGTCGCCTCCTTGCAATCCGCGACGCCCGCCGTGCCCTCGTCCGCCCGTCCTCCCCGGGACCCCGAAACCGCCTTTATCGACGTCGACGGCGACCGCGACCGAAGATCGAACGGGGACGTGGCCAAATGGGTAGATTAAAACGTCGTCCGTACGCGGGACCGCCCGGCGGCGACCGGGGGCGGGCGGGAGGGGAGATTTGGGCGCTGTAAAATGGAGCCGAAACACCCCCCAGATACCCCCCTCGACGCCTTAGAGTATTATTATATAGACTAGCAGGACCCGCGGAAATCCGCGGGATTCTAGAGGGGGGCGGGGGGTGTAAATAGATATATAAAGACTGTCTAAATTAAAACCACCAAGAGCTTTATTTGCCATTCAGGCCATTAAAAAAATATACATGTTTAGCGTCCCCGCCCGCTTTTTTTAAAAATATTTTTTTTTTTTTTTTTTTTTTATTTTTGAAAGAAAAAAACAGCGTTCCCGCCTGCTTCCTTTTTGGGGGCCGCCTCCTATTTTTTTAAAATTTATTTATTTATTTTTTTTTATTATTTTTTTTTTTTGAAAGAAAAAAAAACATGAAAAGCACTGCTAAAATGTATTTCTGATTTTAAAAAAGAAAAAAAATTGTCGGCCGCCATCTTGAAAAATAGCCTGAATGTCAGGGAAAATGTACGGAGCGGCCATTTTGAAAGAAAAAAAAAGAAAAAAAGGGCCTCCTTCCCATTTTTCGAAAAAACAGGACGCTAAACATGTTTTTTTTTTAATTTGGCCTTATATAAAAAAACAAAAACGATCCAACTATACCGGTAGTTATTCTTTAAGCCACTGGAACTGCGTAGAGTTCCGTAGTGTGGCGTACCGACTACGCAGAAATTAGGCTGCGTATTAATGGGAAAATAGTCCCTGCGTAGGTTATGCGTAGGCTGGCGTACAGGTTTGCTTATGGTTGCTTACTGTGTGGAAAGCTTTTACTGCTTTGTCAATCTGGCGTAGGGTAGCGTACTGTTGCGTAAAAAGGCGTACTTTCTGCGTCAAGTTTCTACGCCGAAAGTACGCGAAAAAAATTAAACATGTTGAATTGTTTTCGTTCATCTTGCGTACCCCTTTCCGTCCCCCAGCATATAGTAACGTAGGTCAGCGTAGTTGGTACGCAACACTACGCAACTCTACGTATTGACCCCACGCCAAGTATTGAAAATATGCTCATCTGACCCTAATTAAACGCCTAAACCCCCCGAGCTTTCGGGGGTTTATGGCCCCTTGAAACCCGTGGACCCCACGCCTACACTCAACTCGCTTCGATCTACCTGATCCCCCCCCCCCCCCACACTTTGAAAAATGTTTTGTGGGGTCTGCATGTAACATGTAAGATGCAGATTTTTTTTGTAACATGTAAGATGCAAAAAAAAGTATTTTGCCCCCCCCCCCCCCTCCCCAACGATCTTATGGCACTTCGGCCTGCCCGCTGTTGTGTTCACGTGTAGGCCTACTTCAATGAATGGATAGACATAAATAGTCGCATGGATGGATACATAATATAGCGTATAGTTGTCGAATATTGGCATGTTTGGCCCTTCATAGTCTCTTCGACTCTTATACAAATAACGCACGTCCCAGAGTGCAATAGCGGTGAATGCAGTACGCGCGAGGTTTCTTTAGATTGGTGCCGCTCTGTGCAACGAGCCGCTTGCGGCGAGTTGACAGTGCGAACCATCTGAAGAAACCGAGCGTTTACTGCATTTACGTTTTGCACAACAGGGTCAAGTGCGTTATTTGTTTTATAAAATAGCGACACAAATAGCAAAAACGAAACTTTAGATCTAATAAGTTAGAGTCTACGAGAGTTCGATCTAGATCTAGATCTAGAGTTATGTTGGTTCTACTTCTAATTAGACTAAGACCTTGCAGGCTTACCAAAAAGTCAATGGGATTCATTGCCTTGATTAAAAATAAAATCCATACAGTGGGTCTAGAGACGAGTCTACATCAGACAGCTGAAATTCCTGGCTTCATTATAAAATCCAAAAGTCAAAACAGGCCTAAATCCAAGGCAAAAGTAAAATAAAAATTTGCTTTTTAATAATACCCCGCTGGCCGCTCTAGCTAGCTAGCTAGAGCTAGCTACGCGTACGTTGCTGCGCTGGGGATCATGGTGGAGCGTACAATATTAGCTACGCGTAGCCTACAATAATTGCAATGCAACTCGAGGGAGCGCGTACTACACGTACGCGCGCGCACTGGATCTCCATGGTCACGCGTACGCACCGTGCAATATAACTTTTTACTGCGCTTTTTCTGCACTCATTTCTGCAAAATCGTGCTTGCATCAAAATTTTTTCAATGTCATGTGACGCGTATTGACCAATCACGATGCTTAAAATACTAGAGCCATTTTATAAAAATAGCTAGCTCACTCACTCACTCAGCTCGGTCGAGCAGCCAGCGCAGCTGCACTGCACTACACACTGTATGCGTACGGCAGAGCTCTTGAAACTGAACGATGTTTTTCTCTGATTTTCTTGTGAAAACTTTCCTTTAATAAATGATAATCAAAACTGAGTAAACATGGCCAGAATAATCACAAAATAAGCTTTGATTTCATACCTCCACTCACGAAAACTATATAAAAATCCCGGCAATAATGATGGAAATAGGTCTCTAAGTTTGGACGTGGATATAGGAAGACATCTGTTGCGCTGATCATGAAATAAGCTAATAAATATCAAATAAAGACTCAACTCGTTTAAATTTTAAATATCAGGTCTACATTTTAATTAAAATAAAAGAAATGGTAAAGATTACAACATCTAAAATATGCAAAACAAACACGGGGAAGAAAAAAAAAACTTGAGACGGAGGCGGGATCGAACCCGTGCGTGCAAAAAGTGCAAGAGCTGCCGGCGAATCGAACGCAACCGGCGCCTCAGACCGCTCGTCCACTTCCGTTTCATGCTATAGCATGAAATTCGTGACGGATAAGTAGGACGTGCGGACGCATCGACGACGTCGACGACGACCGGGACGTCGCACCGGGCCGGGACGTGGCCAATTCCGTAGATTGAAACGCCGTCCGTCCGCGGGACCGCCCGGCGGCGCCCGGGGGCGGGCGGGAGGGGAGATCTGGGCGCCGTAAAATGGAGCCCGGATACCCCCCTCGACGCCTTAGCGTATTATTATATGGATACCTTTTCATCCTCAAATATAAAGATGTAACTTATCATTAAAAAAAGACAAAATACTTACTGCAGTTGTTTTCATCACTGCCATCATTACAATCATCAATAGAATTGCACCGAGCAGTAGAATTATAAGAAGTTCCGTCGGGGCAAACAACAAGGTCTGTTAAATTTTATAGAAATATAAAGCAAATCATTAAAAATTGATACTATTATTATGAAGGTAACAATAATTATGATGACTGCATAGCATTACTCTCGACCATGATACTGATAATTTTATGAATGACACTCACACACAAAAATGGTTTTAAAAAAAACCCTGTTCCAATCACACACAAAAAATATTTGTAGCAAGAATGTTTAAAATCTACATAGTATTTTTTTTGCCCAGCATAAGCCAATGGATAGGAGTATGAAGACAATTTAGAATAAACAGAATACCACGTGCATGGAACTAAAGTCAGACTTGGGTTCCGTGTGGTTCTTATTCTTTGCGAGTGTGTATGGACATGTTGAGTAGTCTCCTCACAAATCAATAATTTGTTGATTGCGATACCTCTTTATTGAAGTTATCTTTGAAACTCATATCTTAATTATAGTATAATGACACTGACATGCCTAGCAAACATAATAGAAAATTTGTTGGATTGGTACACTGTAATCTCCACAAAAAAAAAATCTCCATCTTGTGCCTATTGCAAATGGCACATGTAGATAAATGAATTGCCAAAAGATGTTAGTACCACCGATAGGACTCAAATACTAATAACCCAATCTATAGTCCAGGTTCATATTGAAAAAATAAAGTTTTTGCTTTTAATTGTTAATATTAATCCTATTAATATTACTATCATTATTATTGTTATTATTATCATTATCATTATAAGTGTTATCATCATTAATCATTATCATTAATAATAGTTCGGTTCTTGTATAGCGCATATGTTATGAAATAACATCTCTATGCACTTCCAAAGAGCTTCCAAAGAAATTGTGGATGGATGATGGACGCCAAATGCAATTGCATACTGTTTAGCTCATCGCACCAATCGGGCCAGATGAGCTTAAACCAAAACCAAAACTAGATGTGTGTACATACCTAAAGATCCAGGGATCACTGTTAGCTGCAGCTGGAATCCCTGACGCTTGACTGAATAGTCACTGGTGAATCGCATCCAACTATTAGAACTGTACAATCTGTAGAACAAGACAAAATTGTAAAACACCTTTCATGATATCAACACATATTATCTGATTATTCACTATGTCTGGATACACTGCTATTTCACACTTCATAACCAATGCCATAGTATTATTAAAGGTTAGCTTTTTTACGAATAAAAAACAAACATTTCATAGTCATAGCAATCTTTTCAACTTTTATTTGCATTTGCAAGAACACCCCAAAACTCATCTAACTGTAGCTTGCCTGTAAACCATCCTGATTTGCATATTATAGTTAGTTCTTTCGTAGAGCAGGTGTTACGTCCAAAACCACATCAGATGTCATTGGGAGAGACTACCCAAAGTATGATTTCATCGTTTCTTTCTTTTCTTTTCCAGTGTGAAGGAACCACCCGGCACCAACTCATAATCTGTCGTACAGGCAAAAATGGTTTTAAATATCTGAGACATGGCAGATAACATCAGAGTCTCAGAGGTTTTCAGTTTGTAGCACAGGAGAAAGTGAGTTGCTGTTGAGAGCAAGATCACCTACTTTCTTTAATAGAGAAATATCCTTATCACAATGACAAAATTGCATTAATCCAGAAACTGACATACAACAAAAACTAATGTACCGGTACTTTATATCAAAATTTGTTGGGATGAGACGTCACACCCACCATAACAGAACATTTCAGTTACATGAACACACACACATGCGCAAATTTAGAGACACATGTATAGGTGAAACACTATTTTGTTCATATGGCTTCTTCAAGTTAAAATGCAAGTACATGTGCATTAAAAATGCACAAATATAAATAATGTATACATTTACACAAACCTCAAAGAAGCTGGTATATCTTGTCCTGAGAAAGTTTTTGCCACCAAGTTCCCAGGCGTATGACCATTCCCTATGCTCAGATGGTCATAGCCACTCTCCAGATTAAATGCTATGAATGTGATGAGCACCGAGTAGTTTGATGGAGCCGTGATGTACCAAGTATAATAGGCGTTGTTTGGATACTCATTAGGATAGTTTGGTGATGAAATTGACCGCGTTTCTCCAACAGTCAGGTTAACCACTGAAACTTTAGTAGTGTAAAGAAATAAACCAAGTACAATAATTTGATGATAAATTTTGTCTGTTTAAATAAAAAAAGGACATGCAGATCATCAAATTGGTTCAAGTCATAGATTTAAATTCTTGAAAAAAAATCTATTTCATTTACTTTTATTTACTGCAATTGCACTTTGCCATAATGTCCAACATTATTTTTGCTCATATGGTTGTATTGTGTTTTTTCCGGTGTATGGTAATCTTGACGTCAAATTCATTTGGGTATTACCATACAAATGGACATACTGAAAAACAGCCTTTGGGGTTGAAAGTGTGTTTTTACCGTGTCTAAATAAAATCAACAACAACCCTTAATGTAGCTTAATATAAGGTATGCACATTTAGGTTCAAAGAAGGTCAGATAAAATAGTTTTAAAATACAGGTAACACATGGGGTATTTGCACATAAAAATAGCACACACTTACATACATTTGCACACACATACTCTTTTCAACACTAAAATAAGAGTATGTAGAAAATTATTTTAAAACGTTTGTCTAAAGATATATGAAATAATTGAGTGCAGTGTTTAAAGACGTGTTTAGCAATGGAGTAGTTATCATGGTAATACCTGAAATCGTGTCATTGGTTGGACTAGCCGTAGTAGTACCTAGAAAAACAAAAGAATATTGCATTATTTGCTTAAACATAGGCATGTGTTTCATTTCACTTTTGCCTGTTAATCAGTATGAATAAAGAAATATACAATCACACATATATGCACACACATACTTTTCTCAACACTATTAATTAAGAGTATGTAGAAAATTATTTTTAAATATTTGTTTAAAGTTTAAGATATGAAATAATGAAGGATAGTTTGGTGATGAGATCAAACACATTTCTCTTAGAGTCAGGTGCACTGCTGAAAATTTAGTAGCGTAAAGAAGAAAACCCATGTACAATAATATGATGAATCTTGTCTGTTAAAATGATTAAAGGAAACCTCACCCCAAAAAATAACTTAAGTTATTCTGAGAGATTTATTGAATTCTTGCCCATTAATCTACATGATACCCCATCAAAGTGTATGTGAGAGGTATATAAAACAAGATATTCTTAGCATAATGTACAGTTTCTAAGGACAACATAGGCATCGCCATTTGCTCGATATCATAGGCCTACTATGCAAAGTCGTTTATCAAGCAAATGTATTCAAATCTATAGACGCTTCCTTCCCACGTGTGTGTGCAGTGATGAAGTATTTCATTCGCTTGCAATTATCTTTTGTGCTATAATTTTCTGAATGCAAATTGCATGAAAATAAGCTGATGTTTGCATACATGTATTTATGGTAATTTATGCAATTAAGGTCATAATATTTAACTTTTTACCCATAAATCATATATTCTTCATATTTAAACATTCATTTTGTTCACTCTACACCTGGGCCCTGTTTCATTAAAATTGTTATCAATTACAATAACTGTTATAAGCTACTGAAATCAACGCATTTGAAGTACGCGCAGAGGAATACAATATGAACATTTTATGTTACCAATAATATGAAATAATATGAATAATAAATAAATAAATGAATAATAATAATAATAATAATAAATAATTATATTACTGGATTTGTACAGATATATATATTACGCTTTGTACTGATATGTGCGTTGAGTGTGTTTGAGTGCTGATAATATTATTATAGTTCACAATTTGGTATTTATTCAATTATTGTTTTTATATTTTCCTGTTTTACGTGATTAACTTAATCATAATTTGTTCTTGAATCGATTGGGTGAGTGGTACATACGCGGTATTATTTTATTTTACTTTTAGGCTCTGTATAAGCTTGGCTTGTTAGAGCTCTTGTGAGTAGTGTGCCGCGGGGTTTCATATCCTTAAACTGCTGGCGAACAGAGCAACAAGACCAAGCTCTGTAATTGTTAGGTTTCTCCAATGGTAGGTTTGTCCAATAATGCCGAGTTTGTGCCACGGAACCTAGTCGGACATTTCGATTATATTCTTTTTATGTCATACGTCTTTATCTTTTTTTTTAATTTTTTTTTTTATAGTTTAGTCTACCTTGCTGATACCTCCTCAAAATATATACGATAGACTATCATTAATTCTGCTGCATTACCATATAGCTTATTTAGAGGTTACTGCAGATCAATCACCTGTACTGTATCCAGACTATAGTTAAGTGTAGGAGAACAGTAAAAACAGTGGGGCCATTGAAGGAGCGTTCACGTCGCGGTCCGTCAGATGAAAATCTGCGAATCCTTCAACCACACTACTCAAGTTTCTTTTAGTAACTACCACTGGACGGGACTTGTGTAGTGACACGATTAAAGGAGAAGAACGCATTTGATTGGCAAAGAGCAAATTTGTCGTAGAAATTGAACTTTTCTTATTGTTAATATTAAGGTTCATAAAGGAGGGCCCAGATGAAAGCTTTTAGTTTTGATAATTTTAGATAGTCATATACAAAGGTTTTGCTATAGTCCATTTTTTATTCGTATATTTCTAGCTGAACTGAAATGGATGATGCCATTTCAAAGTCACAAGATTGAACAAGTCAACTGAGCAAAAGAGTGATGCAACATTCAATTTACATAATAGTACTGTGATTTTAAACAATTTCAATCTTACCTGTGCAGTTCAATTCATCCTCTCTGTTAAAGCAATCATCAATACCATCGCAAACCCAGCTTGGATCAGGCACACATTCATAGTCAGATGCACACTCAAAGCAGGACGAGTTTGCTGGGGGGGTTGCTGGAATAAAGTGCACTTATACAGTTAATGCCAGTTGAACTAAAAGTCACTAGTGCATATGCATGCAAAAATATAAAGTACATACATGTCGCGATGATTTACAATTGTTTTGGTAGTCAATACATAAAAACCCAGACTTTTATAATTTTGCTGCATTCTATGTTGCAAACTTGAAAAAAGGACCTTGTGACCTGGAAAGGATGATGCCATTTCAAATTCACAAGATTGAACAAGTCAACTGAAGAAAAATGTGTATGCTTACGACAATACTCCTCATCAGAAAAGTCACAATCATTGAAACCGTCACAAGTTTGACAATTCAGAATGCAATTCTTGTTAGTACATGTGAAAGAGTCATTGCGACACCCTGGTCAACATGAAAATATAGAAATTCATGATAATATCATTTACTGATAAGTGCTTCATCATTGCCAAAATTTAATCAACCTAAATGCACAAGTAATATAATTTGGGGTTGGAACCAACCGGCCAAAGATATTTTGGTTGACCAGCTTCCTCTACCAGTAGATTAATCCCCCCCCCCTCCCCCATTACAAATTGACTTGCCCTAAATCCAAAGTATTCAATGATCTTAAGGACTTGAACAGTTGTCAGCATGCAATTTGCATAAATAAGCTGTTGCTTTTGTGGGGTGAACTGTTAGCATGAATGAAATTAATTTGTCAACTGCTATATTTTAGTAATTTTACAACCTAAGAATGTTGCCATCTTTAACATAAGTGTGATGCAGCATTTAAACAAGAGAGTTGCAACATTCAAAATAAGTGAGCTGTAACCTTTTACATAACAGTGTTGCAACATTGAGCAAAAGAGTGATGCAACATTCAATTTACATAATAGTACTGTGATTTTAAACAATTTCTAATCTTACCTATGCAGTTCAATTCATCCTCTCTGTTATCGCAATCATCGATACCATCGCAAACCCAGCTTGGATCATACACACATTCATAGTTAGATGCACACTCGAAGCAGGACGAGTTTGCTGGGGGGGTTGCTGGAATAAAGTGCACTTATACAGTTAATGCCAGTTGAACTAAAAGTCACTAGTGCATATGCATATATAAACTACATAAATGTCGCAATGATTTACAATTGTTTTGGTAGTCAATATATAAAAACCCAGACTTTTAAAATTTTGCTGCATTCTATGTTGCAAACTTGAAAAAAGGACCTTGTGACCTGGAAAGGATGATGCCATTTCAAATTCACAAGATTGAACAAGTCAACTGAAGAAAAATGTGTATGCTTACGACAATACTCCTCATCAGAAAAGTCACCACGATCATTGAAACCGTCACAAGTTTGACAATTCAGAATGCAATTCTTGTTAGTACATGTGAAAGAGTCACTGCTACACCCTGGTAAACATGAAACTATAGAAATTCATGATCATATCATTTACTGACAGGTGCTTTATCATTGCCAAAATTTAATCAACCTAAATGCACAAGTAATATAATTTGGGGTTGGAACCAACTGGCTCAAGAAATTTTGGTTGACCAGCTTCCTCTACCAGTAGATTAATCCCCCACTCCCCCCCCCCATTACAAATTGACTTGCCCTAAATCAAAGGTATTTAATGATCTTCAGGACATGAACAGATGTCAGCACACAAATTGCATAAGCTGTTGCCCAAACCCTGAGTATGAAATTACGTTTTACAAAAGGAAAACCTAAATTTCAAGTTAAGATGAATCCCTTGTTGGTTTAAATTTGAGTAGGATACATGATAAAGAGTCTTATAGGTCTAACTAAGCAGAAAATAACCATTCATAGGTAGATCTGTCATACATTTTGGTCGTCTCTAAGAAATCATTCACATGGTACACAATAGCACATTCCACTACATTACAGCATTCTACATAAATGGAAAATCACTTATACCGGGTAGGTGAAATAGTCAACATTTTAACATGATTAAGATCGTAGTAGATTATTTTTCGATTTGAATAATATTAAGGGATTGGGTAACTTTGTCTCAGATTCTGAAACAAAATCCTGGATTTAGCTCATGGTGCAATGATAATTATATATAGGTCAGTCAGGAACCCCATGACTTTTACAAGCCGATCGCCTGTCTCATTATCAAGATATTTATGATTGGAAATCGGAATCAAATTTTGTGTTTGCCTAACGGTGTTCATATGTTTGTATTGTATTTTTCAGGTGTATGGTCATTTTGTCGTCAAATTCATTTGTGTAATACCATACAAACGAACATACTGAAAAACAGCTTTTGGGGCTGAAAGTGTGTTTTTCCTGTGTCTAAATGAAATCAACAACAACCCTTAATGTAGAGTATAATTATGCACATTTAGGCTTAAAGAAGGTACAATGTACATCACAGCAAGCTCAGATAAAATGGTTTTAAAATACAGGTGACTGCACTCACATACTCTCCTAAACACTAAATTAAGAGTATGTAGAAAATTATTTAAAAACAGTTGCCTAAAGTTTAAGATATGAAATCGTTGAGTGCAGTGTTTTAAGACATGTTTACCAATGGAGTAGTTATCATGGTAATACCTGAAATCATGTCATTGGTTAGACTGGCCGTAGTAGTACCTAGGAAAACAAAAGAATATTGCATTATTTGTTAAAACATAGGAATGTGTTTCATTTCACTTGTGACTGGTAATCAGTATGAATAAAGAAATTGAATGAAAGAAAATCCCATTTTTTTAGTAGTTTCTTGATACATTTCATTCTACAAGATCTAAATGCTCATCACATTTGAATGGTCGGATCGATGATCCATTTTCGCAATTTTCTTTTAGAAACTCATTTATTGGTAAATGGCTATGCTCACTCATGCATGAATGGTACAATTCCAAGTGCATATCATCTAAACAAGGATTACTATATATATTTATTTAGATATATAAATATAACTATACTTCCAATACTTATTAGAAAATCTTAATTAGAAATAGTGTCCACTTTCTTGTTATGCTGAGTGTAGTTTAAAATTGGAATTTCAATATATTTGTGCATGCGCTATCAGCAGTATCTTGTCTGTGCTCTCAGCTGTGCTGTGCTCCGACAGCTGCTGTACAGACGATTGATCCAGGATTATTTTCGTCAAGAACATAAGGTTAGGATTAGGGTTGAAATCATGTTTTAGTTTAGCTTTATGGCTAGGATTTTCGACAGCCGGTACTGTGTTTTATCAACCTGCAAGGACCTTATCTCCAAGACTTTGGCTGATGGGAACAAGTACGTCAGAGAGAATACCAAATATTTTTGTTAAATTTTTTTTGGTTAAAATTGTATTTTTTGTTAAAATTTGTATCCTGACATTTGATTAGTCCTAAATTAAAAAAAACAAACAGAATCGCTTTCAAGTCTACAAGATGTGTATTGCCAATCTCCAGTATCTGCTGTTAATGGCATAAATACTCTTGTGTTTAGTGGGTCCCCAATGCAATGCCCATGAATACATTGTACCCATGCAGACCTTTAATGGCACTTAGGGATTTGTCTCATTTTCTAGTGAAATTTAAAGCATGTTCACATATGCACTGTGCGCATTCAATATTTGTTTAGCTACACTGTCCAGCAGTCAGTTTCAAATTTTATGCCTGCAGTTTTGGCCAATCAGAGGCCTTGGATATTTATATGCAGTATATAAAAGAAAATATCAAGGGTAGTGATACTTTTTAGTTTTAATCAAGAATTCCATGAATCATAGTATTGCTAGAGTGCCTATATATGTCTACGCATACATATACGTGCAACTGATTCTTATGAAATAAAAAAACTAATGAACAGAAATTTGTTTGAGTCTCTGTTATCATAAATAGATATAGACTCGGAGATATATGTGAAAAACAAGTAAAACATATCTGTAAAATTTTAGCAATTCTATTCACCAGCCTCGATATGGTAAATTTCCACTCAAGAATCATATCCCAAAGCGACATGTAAATTGAATGAGTGTGCAGACGTGGGAACATAAAGAATGTAATGAATACATGTAGAATCACATTAAGCATCAAAGGAATTTTAATAAAAAATTGGCAAATTTTAAGTCAAATATTAGGTGCCCAATCATTACGTATGCGACACAAGAGGAAATACCAGGGACTAGCCTATATACCAATTCCCACCACACTGCACCAGCCTGCAATCTAATTAATAACTTGAATTTAAAGAGATAATAAAGGAGTTGGAGAAAGTGGAAAGACGTTTATATTTGTTTGCATTATATGGTTTTAAATGTATTAATTGATAAAAGTGCTGAAACTACAACAATACCTAATGTTGGTGGAACACTGCCTGCGTAATCTGCAATAAAAAGAAATTATTTATTGTTCAAATGAGATAATAGACAGATCACTTGAAATCATTTATGTAAAAATTTGGAATTTCATATATCCTTGGTTTTCTCTTCGCTCTGCATTACACATTTTGTGAAGTTATATATTGTTAATAATAAGGAAGAATCTATTCTGCACTAAAATCAAACAAATTTAAGTCATAGAGGGGGCACAAAACTTATCCTCTACATAAATTCACCTTAACATGTCTCGAAGTTAGATTTACCAATTGTAAAAATTGTGTCTCCATGATTAGTTTTCATATAACAATTGGGTTTCTATACATATATTGTTGCTTAATTAAACCAATGTTGCTTCATTGGTGTTTTTTTAAAGAGCAGATTAGAGCTTTCTCTTTACAGAATATATTTCTGAGATACATTCATTAAAAAAAAATGCTTGTGTTGTCATATGTTAAATTTCTTTCAATACCAAGATATTTATGAACTTAAACATACTTTTCACAACTCCTAGAATGAAAGGCAACAGCTCAGAGACTCTCGTGTAAACTCCTGGACTTCCTGGTTCCGCACATCCATATCCCCAACTGGTTACACCGACCAGGTGCCATCTACCATCTGGACCTTCACATGCTAAAGGACCACCACTATCACCCTTCAAAATATAATATTATACTATTATTTCATGCTCTGGCAT